TATTTTAGAACTGCGAGAATTTGTGTGTGAGATTTGCGGGAAAGGCTTCACACGGAAGAGCACCATGCATAAACACATTGAAGTTGTCCACAAGGGTAGGTACCTATTTCCTGTTCAAGTTTTGCTTTGGATGTCATTATGGCTTCCGCCTATCAGCCCTTTCTTGCAGCTTGTTTTCGACGATTACTTTTCATTTTAACATCACAGCATATAACTATCGTTCAGTGGTTGTAAGGTCATGTCATCGTAAGTGAGAAAACGGTGTTACTGTCTCACGATAGCTAAGAAATGACGTAATTGATTGATGGTAGCTGGGTCTAGAAAGTTGACTGTTGTAGAAGCCTTTTTCAGGCACGGCTGATACCTCACCAGACCCAACCTGAGGACTCCAAACTTACAGTTAGCAACATTGATTATGACACCAAACAGAGTCGAGTCATACGAACAGTTATCGAAGATGAACCTCGTATGAAGAAGTGTCCGAACTCGCCCCTAGTAAACAATCGATTTGAGCGTAGACAAAGTCGACACCCCGCAGCATCTGATCGATGGGCTGCTGAACTTACTCAGACTAAAGGCATTCCAATGAATGCGTCTAACCCAAGGTGATGCTTGACACATAATTGACCTTTCTTGGGATTTGGAAGGTGAGCCTTGGCCTTTAATACATTTATTTTGCTTTCGTTTTGCGTTGTAGAACGGCGAGACTTTGTGTGTGAGTTATGTGGCAAGGGTTTTACGCAGAAGAGAGACCTGACACGGCACATTGATGGCATTCACAAAGGTGCGTACCTTTTTCATAAAGATTATCTGTTCCATATTTTTGATGTGGATGTCGTTATGACTTCGGTCTTAAGGTTTTTGTCATGCAGTTAGCTTTCGCCATTGCTCACGCTTTCTGTGAAAACAGGCCCCTCCCTCTTTATGTATTACATGTTATCATTTTCCTACTCTATGCAGGTGTATTTTCTATTCCACCAATTGCACCTCGCTCTCTCCCTCGCCCAATACGCCTCCTATTGGAAGACGAAAATGGCAAGACCACTGTGTGTGCTTGTCAACGCCTACCATAAAGGACCAAGTCTTCATTGCATGTGTCAGAGTTCTGCATTTAGGGCTGGAATCTCTGTCAAGCTTGAAGGGGCCATATAGACCACACTAAGAGGGAGTCAGGTGCATACGCGCTTCTGACTTGTCGGTGGCAGTATGAAGCAGTGGCTGGTTGAGTGTTGGACATGTAATTGGTCGGCTTCAAGGTGGACGTCGGAGATGTCCAACAACGATGATTGACACGCG